TATTGATCAGTAATATCACATGCAATTAATTGACCATCTGATGGAAGGGCTAATGCAATTGTTAATGCTGTATAACCAGTGAATGTTCCAACTTCGACTAAAATTATAATAAATTCTTATTCTGTATAGTATTTGAAAAAAGAGAAATCTTACTGCATCGTTTGCATCCCATAAGTTGAATAATAACTTGAAAAAATTGTGCCTCATCAAAAGAACCGAGCATTCTAGATATATTTCCTATTGAAAAAATTTTTATAATATTGTTTTGATTAAATAATCAAAAATAACCTGGTAATGAATTTGTATACTCAATGATTTCATTTTGTTCAGATGTTAAACGTAATGAATGTTCTTTAATGTATTTGTCAATGGGATCAGATGATCGTTGCATTTTAGTTACCATATTTAGTCTATTCGATCGAAGTATATAGTATGAGCTCTAGAAAGAATAATAACAGTTATTTACCTTTTTAAGTTTGATATGTTTTTAAGACTTGTAAGTGATACTATTAGTTGAAAGTTAAAGTGCAGAAGGCGATGTTGTAGTCTTTTTTTATCAGGTATATGAAACAAAGAACGAAAAGAAATGTGTAAATACTGATAATAGTACATTTTTTTGTTTATGGGTTGTTTATTTGTGTTGCTGTGAAGCACTTACAATAATAGTACTTTCTAACAAAATACTAAAACACAGAGGGATATTTAGCGTCTTTATATTTCGCAATGGCCTTTGTATATTTCAAAGGCTTTATATACGTATAGATGAAAAGATAATTTTTTATTTATAACTACACTCACCTATCAAAAAATTAGCAATCATCAATATGACAATTTCTGATAGTAGAAATATTTGTGATCATGGTATTACATTTCTTCTTATCGAAAATGACATCGATTTCAAATATAAAGCATACGCACTTTTCCACTCGCCTGCCAGACAGAACGAAAGTACATGAAAATAAAGGATAAAGTATTACACAATGTATAAAATAAGGATAAAATAATATTAGCAATACTTTAAATGAGAATGAATCATAAAAAAAAGTTCTGGATGAAAACATAGATTTTAAGAGAAATTTAACTGAACAGAAAATTACTCGCTTCTGTTTTCATTACAAGTACATTTCTACTAATCAATCAATATGTTTTATATTCCATGTTTTCTTCTATATTTAATTTGAGAGTATTCCCTTATTTTCTTTGTTTAATATTCTAATAGTATTGGCAGTTTTTATGTTATAATTAAAAATAATATTTGCTTTCATTATTCAGAATGTTTAACTTTATTAGTTTTGTTTGTGAAAAGAGAATACTAGGCTAGTTTATACATTCGCTTATTAAACTAAGTTAACTTTCAAATCGTAAGATTTTAACGAGTCCATCTTTCCCAAGTATTGACTATATTTCAATCGATCGATGAGATCCAAACTGAAGATGTCGAATGTGTTTTATGAGTCCTGTTGTGATTAATCTCTCAATAAGATCATATTTACATCCCTCACAATTCAAATATAATAAACTAAGTTCATTTTTGATTGATGAACTCATTTTTTTCAGTATTTTAAATTCAAAAACAACTTCTGCAATATTTCGAGCAATGGGTTTATAGTATTTGTCTAATGTTAATTGTGCATGATCAGTGAAAGATAAACTTTGTCCTTGAGAGAAAGTCTTTCTAGTAACATTAACAAAATAGGATCGATTCGATGATCCAGATAGTTGTACATAATATCATGATGAACGATCACTTGTCAAAAGATCTCGTATACGAGAAGAATGTATTAATTTCTCTTAAAATGAAAGTAATGGTTCAAGAAAATAAATATGACATGATGCATATTTAAGTGTAAAATGAAGACCAGCAGTTTCAGCTATATTAGCTCCATATTAGATAATCGTACATGTCTTGTTTGGTAAATCTAAAGGTCGAAATTGTTCTTCTTCGTTCTAATACCCTGATCTATTTATTGTTCTCTCGGTAACAAGAAGACTTGAATTTAGTTGCCATCCATTTGTACAAGTAAAATTATGTGCTCGATGATTTGCTTGCTAGATACAAGTTCTATGATTAACAGATAAGTTGACTTCTAAATTATTGTTTATACTTATTCGACGAAACCATACAAAGAATAAGCTAATATCTACAAAGATTACTAATAGATATTTAATAAACATCATATTATTGTGAGTCATCTGAAAATAAATTGTTTTTAAATAATAATTCACATTATATATCAAACAATAACTAATAAACGAAAAGAGAGCATTTTCTGAAAATATAATATGATGAATTCGAGAACGAATCAGAGTATTGAATATCTCTTGCGACACATTTATACATTTTCATATACTTAAATGTACCTGTAAACATTAAATATCAGAAGAAATTGTGATAATGTTTATTAATTTTTTTTTATTAATTACTAGAAACTAAAAGACCATATTACTAAAAAATTAATTTAAAAATCAATATCTATTTTAACAAATTGTATAAAAGATAAAAATATATTTAGTTCATTTGACTTACGCGTTATATAACATTTCTAAAATCATTGCAAATATTTTCGAAAGGAATAATAACTTCAGATAAATTCTGGTGTTGACAAATCATTGAAAAAGCCAATTTCAATTTCTCAGCTTGATTTGCTAGTAATGTTCCGAAAGCAAACCATACATTACCACAAGAGATACGAAACGGAAGCATCATATTGATTCGATAAGGATGTATAAGTGCAATGGTATTCATCAAATTTTGTTCCTTTCCAATGAAAAAATTCTTTGAGATATAGAATATCGATTGTTTCATACAATGCTGATGACCACCAATGAATAGCATCATTAATACCACCCATTAGCTTAGCTTGAATGAGATCCTTATTTACAGTATATAATAATGGACAAAATTGACGAGGAAGTGAAGAAATCATGCTGAGAGGAAGTCTGTTATTGACAAGAATTGAATGAGTTGACGGTTCGTATGGTTACGATTGAAAACGATAATTAGAAGATCGAAAAGCGCCAGTATCAATATAGATAAAATAATTTTGTTCAAAAAGGATTAAGCTCGACACTACGATTCAGTATAAACGGTTTGGCACACAATACAGCATACAATCCTATAGAGTGATATGCACCTTCAGGATCACTTGGATATTGTTGTTCAAAAATAGGAATAAGTTTTTTTACTGATGGTATTTGAAATGGGGAATTATATTCCACAATAAAATGAGTCATTAATGACTTATTTCGACGAAGTTGTTGTAAAATGGGTTGATATTCACTTGCTGTATATATAATGATAGGTGATTGGCAAAATCCTAATAGATTTTCAATCCATGATTGATATTTAGCTTTACTATATTTAGATCTACTCAGTGGAAAATATACTATTACAACTGTTGTTGTATATTGTTCATTACTTTTCGATAAAGAATATCTTGTATAACTGAACACATCAGTTGAAAATTTAATTAAATTTGGTGGATTAACATACGAAACTACACTAACACCAATGACAACTAATAGAAAAATACATAATTCTTGATAATAAATTATTTGAAGTGTCATCAAAAATAAATAATACATTTAAATACATTTATTTTTTAAAAAAAGAACAGTTTAATTAGTTTTATTTGTATTATTTAAAAATGAAAACCATGGTGGAAAAAAATCATCCACTCGACAATCAACATCAATAGGAGTATGATCCGATTTTGAATCAGTTAATACATCACCTAATCTATTATGTAGAAGAAAAGCTCCCCACCATCCATATGATCCTGCAGTAAGAATAATATGTTCACATAAAGTTAATGTAGCCAAATCATCAGCAGCACTGAATGAATCAGGTGTCACAAAAACATTTTTCTTCTGACCAAACGTTTTTCGACAATATTCTTTATCATCGGACACTATAACAAATATAACTGAATGATATTTGGCAATAAAATGAGACATTGCATCGAATATATATTTGTCAGATGAAACACGTCGAAGAAGTAGAAAATCTCCTCGTCGAATATGTATGCCTACTGAAGTTGAAATATTTTTATTGATATTTTTGTCGAGAAAATTTTGCACTCGATCTAGAATTGATTGTTTAAAACGTAATTGTTCTCTTATTTGTTCCATATGATCGATAAAATATTTATGTACTTGCCAATATCCGTCTAATTCAAGAGAATAACTATTATTTGAATATACAGGGTTGCGAATATATGAACAATGATTGTAGATTTTTTTAATCGAAGTAAAATCATTTAATTGTGATTCTAATAATAAATTTGTTAAATTCGTCTCGAATGATGTTTGAAGTTCATCAATAATATCTGGATTTATATACAACTGACATGAATGTGTAAGTGATAAGCCATAAGCTGATGCAAACATAAATAAAAGATTTCCAAGTCGACCACCACGTTGACGTAAAATAATACGACATTGTTTAGTATCATTAAATAAATTATTATTCTTCGATACTTGTACATCGTATACAGTTTGTGAATAAATATTTAACATTAAAAAAATCATAATCATAATAACGATCAGACCTATTACTTTTAAAGATTGTTTTCCACCCATTTTCTGTCGTAATAAATATTTTAATAAAATAATCTAAAAAATAAATAATAGAACTTAATAGTAGTAGATCAATGATATCATTATAATTGTTAAATAAACAGTACTATTCGAAATTCTTCTTTATTTCTAATGCTTTCATAATTTTGCTATTGAAGTCACTTTTTATAATGTTAACATATGACTAATAGATTTGTTTCTAAATTATGTCTAGGATTTAATCGATCAGTAAATAGATTGAACGATCCGTAAACTAATCATATGATCAGTCATTAAACAAAAACATGCTTTAATAAATTATACGATCAGTAAATAAAATACTTTAACAGTTAGTCATACTAAAGAATCAGTGGAAAAGTCGAAATAGATAATAAAGTGTGTTCGACTTGTCGTTTGTTTTCTTTGTTTCTTTCTTTGCGTTCTGTGTGACTTTCTTTTTTTCTCTAGTTTAACTATAGAAGACTGACTAGATAAGTTTATTCTAAATAATACAGAAGATAATGAATACACAAAACGTTGTTCCAGATATGAGCGAATCATCCGATGATGAATCGGAAACAAATGCTAATGATTTAGAGAGCGTCACGTCTTATCCACATTTTTGACAATCAGTTCAACTATAGCTGATCATTGGTCTATTGAACGTGATTTGTCTTCAACAAATATTAAAGTATTTGCTACAGAGTTAATAATATCTTTAAAACTATGGACTTCCTCATACCAATGAGTTAAAACTACTAAAGAAACTATTTGTATTCAAAATGATGTTTCGAGACCATATTATATACCAGCACGTAATTTACAATCTATTTCTCAAACTGATTTAAAAAGATGCATTAAACAAAAATGAACAAGCTTCAAACTGTTTGAAAAGTCATATGATGTTTGGTGTTTAGAAATGATGGATGATTTAAATTGGAAAACATCCAAATGTAGTTGTCCGGCTTTTCTTAAAGATTACATATGAAAGCATATGGTTGGAATGACTATTCGTCTGAAAATTTGCAAAGCACCTGTAGCAGCAAAAGCCAAACGTGCATTATTGGTGCAACGATTCAACTCTAATTTCTTCATTTCTATTTCTTTTTTTTTTTGTTCTATATTATACTTCATGAGTAAATAGATTCTCTACTGGTAATTTCATCTTATTTACGGATCGAATTTTCTTTTCTTACTTATCAAAATTTTACTTTTTACAGCTAAAAGATGATTTTATTATTGGTAGTTTATTCAAAAACCTGATCACTTTCATATTATCTACTGGTAGTCTAAATACTGATCATTCATTCTTTGAATTAATCCAATATTTTGTTGCCTTTGAAATATATCTATATTTTTCATCTGAACTATATTATTACAGCAGAATATGAGAAAAGAATGATCATTGTTTCTTTTTAGTTTTTTAGCCAATATCGTATATCATACACTTAAGTCTAAAATTTAAAATTTAGAAGAAGATTTTTCGACAACATAGTACGCCAATTATACGTCATAGTTGACGATTTAAAGTTGAAATTCATCTATCT